CACTATGAATGAAGTATTGTATTCACTGGTGGCTTGATGGACAAAATACTCAACTGCAACTTGTAGGCTAAATACAAACAGTCAAAAAGCCTGAGGCTGAATTGATTCCGTCTTCACAAGTTGTCTAAGCTATGTAGATTGAACTGATAAGAAAGTGAACAGATATTCACTTTTGATTCCAGAAATGCAGCCACATGCTGCAATGGCCCATGCCAGATGCCTGGGAGTCACTCCTCCCCGCTTGGCTGGAGCAGACAGCTTGGGCCAAGGCTAGCCCACCCACCCTGTGCTGGGGGGTTTTCAGGAGAAGTGCAAAGCATTCTGGAACGCTGTGGTACTGTGAGTTAACTTGAATCTGGAGGGGATCTGGGACAGAAGTTCAATAAACCAATTTAACCTAAACCCATTAAGTCTGATATTACATCCATCCAGGCTTATCTTAAACTGGTTTCAGCCATTTTGAAAGCAGTTTATGTGCAGTGAACTTCTGTTGTGTTACAGATTTGAGCTGGTTTCCAATCACTTATACCAGTTTATGTGTAACTTCTTTCCCTAGCCATAGAGTCCAAATGATGAAGTTGATAGATTGATTTTACAAAGGGTAGCAAAATTCTTCTTTAAGCCTTACATAGACTAGTCACAATATAAAATGTTCATTATTATGGAGACCCCAAACCTAGGCTTCTGTAGAATCTTAAGCAGTTTTAGCTGACACAGTATGAGGGTGAGCTATAATGCATAGTTTAGAAAATAGATATTCATATACATGTATTATAAATCAGATTGCTTTTTTTCTCAGATGGCTGGGGATGAAAGACTACATGCTGTCAAGCCAAGTGAGGCATTGAAAAAGTCTATCATTCTAGATCAGTATTGCATTTGTAAGATAGTTATAGCCGCTACAATATAAGAAGCCAAGGACTGTTTCTCAGTTTCTCCTGCAGAATATTATAATTATTTAAAAAAAAAAGAAAAGAGATCTTGAACCTTGCAAACCTTCCCTGTACTGACTGAATCAGTGGTGAGGAAAGCCATTGAGGACTGAACCTTAGGTGAATTATTTTTACATGCAGATGGACATACACTTGCAGATTGATTGAAAATGTTATATTGAAGCAAATCTTAGATGTGATGGAGTAAGTATTAATAATTTAAGTGAGTAATGAGCAAAATTCACTGAAAGCCAAGGCTTAAATATCCCCTAGTAGTTATAATAATTTTGTCTGGGGGTTTTTTTTAGTCCTTAATTCTCTAAATTGTGCATGTAGCTATTGGATAGGACCACAGCAAGCAAATCAAAAAAGGTTTTTTGCTATTTACCATTGATTGTATATCAAGATATGTTATGTGTTTTTTTCTGTTTTATTTAACAGTAAGTAAAAATACTTTTAGTTAAAGGAAGGCCAGTAAATGCTTAGATATCTGTAAACTCAGTTACGTTTTCTCTTAAATCATTTTAACAATGTAAAAATAAAACTTCAGTTCTGTTCCATACCATTATCCAACCTATAGACTAGAGGCCAGATTCCTTCCATTCCACCAGTTAGGTGTCTAAGGGTATGTAAGGCAGACCTGCCTACTCACTGCACTTGGGAATGCAGCAGTGAGGATGTTCCAAGGAAAACCTCCTGCACCATGCTCGAGCACCCTAGAGACAGCTCTTTTGGGTTTACCAAATGGGGTTATTTATATTTTAGGAGCCTGGAGGGCAGCATAG